TTTTTTATTTAATATCAATTTTAATAATTAATGACTAAATTTTGCATCATAATTGCATTTGTGACGAATAAAATTATTATAAGTAATTTGTTAACAATATCAATTTTTTCTATCACTATAAAATTATTTTCTGTGACATGTGCCTAATTTGTCATTAAGAGTATTAATGACAAAAGTTTTACTAACGGTTTAAATTTTATTACTAATAATAATTTGTGACGAAAAATAAAAATTTAGTGATTAATAATTTAATCACTAAATGTGAATTTTTTTGTAGTGACATTTCATTTATCGTTAATATTTTATGAGATCTTTTAATATGTATCCTTACTAGTAAACCTGATAAACAGGCAAATTAGATAGAGTTAGACTCTAGTCAAAATAAGTAACGGATCAAAACGAATTAAATTAAAACAAGTCACGGGTTTTTAAAGATAAACCTTAACTCATTTATTATGGATCACAGATCAACTCGCAAGTTAATCCGATTATTTTTTTACCCTAATATTTTACCCAACCAATAAATGTCGATTTTAGATCTCTGATTTTCAGAGATTTCAAGGTCACATTTCACATGGTTGCCGAGCTCTAGGCCCTCACCGGCCACCGTCTCAGACCCAAGTAATAATTGTACATTTCCATTCGCTCAGACTTAATATCTCTCTTCACACGGTCACGCTAGCCCTTTTTATTTTCTATGGGCCAACAATTTTTGAATTATTTGTCCTGCTTTTGCAGAAAGTTGATCCTGCTCAGCTTCTGCACGAGGTTCAAGAAATTAAAAATTAAAAGTTAAGTTAATATTTTATTTTTAAAAAAATTAAATTAATTATTAAAATACAATTTATAAACAATTTTATTGTGCTGTAGTGGTCACCATTAAACTATAGTCATATAGTGACCACTAATAAACAACAACATGAAACTTGAATGACAGGCATTTCCATTAACATTTTGAAAACGGGGGCTATGATATTGACAAGAGAGAAAGGAATCCAAGGCAGAGAAAAACATTTGAGAAAAAGAAAGACGTACACCAACTAAGGTTGGATCAAGTGGTAAACCGCTTGTTTCAGCTTTAGTAAGATCTCGAGTTTGAGTCTTTGTGAACGCAGCAGCCTTCGTTGGGAGATTCACCCACCATCTTCAAGTGCGCGACGTGGGTCGATCCGGATTAATCAGAGCAAAGCCCCGAATACGGGACGAAAAACCAAAAAAAAAGAAAGACGTACAATTATGAAATTTTTTTGAGTGTAATTTTTTTAATAAAAATAAAAGTAATTTTATACAAATATTTGGATAAAAATTTTTTAATTTTAGTACTCGAATAAAGATTAATATACATAGAGTCTCATTAATTGTTTAAATATTTATACTTAACTTATAAGCTATAAGTGCGTCTCGTTCTCGGTGAGTCCATTCCTTCCTTTTTCCCTCTATAATTGTCGTTACTAAAGCAAAAGAATGGAATCGGAATAATCTGTCCCAAGACTTAGTACTTAAG